TCTCTCTCTCTCTCTCTCTCTCTCTCTCTCTCTCTCTCTCTCTCTCTCTCTCTCTCTCTCTCTCTCTCTCTCTCTCTCTCTCTCACTGGCACAAGAATGGATCTTCCTCTTTATTGAGGAAGATTCATTCTCATTGGAAAGGTCTGATTTCGTTTTTTTTTTTTGGAGAATGTTGTATGTTATTTTTTTTTTTTTGGTGTGTCCTACCGGTTGTCTGAGTTTCGGCAATAAAGTCCGAGGCTCGGGAATGACCGGGCTACCGGTAGCCTGAGCCACGGGCCTTAACAACTGGTAGGTACTGGTGGTTAAAAAAAAAAATAATTGGCGATGTCACATTTCCCAAGATGGGAAGGAGTATGACTTTTGAAAGTGCTGCCGTCCCACTAACCCTCCCGTCTCCTCCCCTGCTCCCCACCCAGCCACTGCCTAATCAGGACAGACTGGTACGTGACTGTTGCAGTCTCGCGCACCACTGCGAGGGAGTCCCTTCGTGTGCCTGATGGGCCTCCCTTCTCTGATGGTTGCCATGCTGAAGCGTGCAGTTCGTATAATTTGAGGAAAAAAATCGAGTACTGGATGGGGTTGCAATTGACCGGGAAAAAGGAGGTCCGAACCATGCCCTTCTAGTACTTGATTCTTTTTTATCTTTTGAAGAGCTGCCAATCAAAATGAGTCTTTCCATTTTCTTTTCCCGCCTCCCATTCTTGGGAACTCAAAAGATAAGGTCTTCAGCCAACACGGGTGTGACTGCGCGTGTGATTGGGTCCAGTGTGGTGTGTGGGAGAGTGTTGGCTTTAGACACTACTGTTACTCGATGGGGGTGGGGGCGGGGAAAGATGAAAAGGGGGAGGCACAATTACCGGCGAAATGCCGGGTCCTTGTGTTAGCCGGGCCCCCACCGGCGGCCCCAACCCTGCACCCTAAAATGCTAGGGCAAAGGGGCAAACATGCCCTTAGCCCCCTCCAACGACCGAGAGAGGTAACCTCCCTTCACGGAAGAGAGGTAGAAAGCTATGCTTGCAGGGGTCCCCTGTATAACCTTAGGAGTAGCGCTAGGTAGTGAAATGAAAGATATGTGAGGTGAGAGAAAAATATATGGCGGTCCCCCGGGACCTTGTCCCACATGCACCGTTTAGTGGACCTAGCTCAAAGGTGCGACGGCTGAAACTGTTTTTTTTTTTATTCATATAAAATTCAGAAATGCATTAAAAAATCCGCCTAAGATACAATTCATTCTTTTTCTTTTTTTTTCCACAACTGGAGTGGAATACGTGACGTCCACAACCGAGAATGGAAACTTGCTTCCATCAGACGCGCGCTGTCTTCACCGCTCAAACTGTGAGATCCGAGAACTAGTGTGTGTGTGTGTGTGTGTGTGTGTGTGTGTGTGTTGTACCGCAGTCTGACTGGAGACAGGGAAGACTCCGAAGACGATGACGAGCAAAGAAACGAAGGACATATCTATCTGCGCGTCCGTAACGGATGCTGGCTGTGTGAACCTGCTATGATGGGAAGAGAGAGAGAGAGAGAGAGAGAGAGAGAGAGAGAGAGAGAGAGAGAGAGAGAGAGAGAGAGAGAGAGAGAGAGAGAGAGAGATGTTTAAAATATGCGTGAATGTGGATGGATTCACAGGACGCCTCTCCATGAATCTGCCCAATAACGGAGACAGATACAGGAGCGCACAACAACAACGAATTGGAGCAGCTCCCATCCTCCGAAGGGTTGCTCCGATCCTATGAAGAGTTGCCCTATTCCCCCTAGTTCGCGCATATTCGGCCCTTCAAAAGTCGACCGAAAATAGCGAAGTACACGCGACTTCACAAATTTCTCAAAACATAATAAAATAACATAAAAATCTCCAAAAGGACGCCAACGGTCGTTGGACTGGCTGTCTCGAAAAAAGGAGACAGCTAGATCAACAGAAAGTGGCGAGGGTAGGGGGCGTTGCATTCGAGAAAACGTCATTTTTGAATGCATTTCTCATTTGAAATTGAATTAAAATGATTTTTTAAAGCTGTGGCACCGTTGAGCTGCCTCAACTAAACGGAGCAAGGGAGAAGGCAGCTTTTTTGAAAAAAAAAAAAAAAAAAAAAAAAAAAAAAAACACCAATTCAGAATATAAATCCATAGCAATTTCTCTGCCATTGGATTGTCCTGCATCAGTGGTCGGACGATGTCCCACAGGTGTTTGTGGATACACTTCACCTCGAAATGAAAAAGACACGGGTGCATCTGCCCAGGAAAGGTAGCCAGATACACTCGTTACTATTTATAGGAAACCGATGAATCTGGCCATTCGCTGTGAGAAGATGCATTCGTTTCGTTTTTCGTTTCGTGTGCCGTGTGGCGACGCCCTTACTCGTGTGCTAGTGGAACCGTGCCCCTGAGATTGGGCCTCGCTGCACTACACAACACTCTACATGCATTTAGACTCTTTCTCGACCCGGCGCATTCAAAATGTTGGACGCATCCGAAAGAAGCTGTCTCAGAAAGCGACCACATGCATGTCGAGTGCTCTGTAGTGCAGCCATGCCTATTGTGATCCTCGTGCTGGGCTCTGGACGGAAACCAAGAAGTGGGGACTATTGGGTCTCGCTCCACGACTGACCACATGCACAAAAGACACAAACTATGGCGCTGTATCCTTCATGTTCTTTTTTTTGTTTTTCGTGGTATGACCGTACCAAAAAATTTGGACCATTTCTTTTTTTTTTTTTCGGGAAATTTGGACCATTTCTCGATTTATGCGTGTCATCCTGCGTTCTCCTTTTTTTTTTTTTTCGCTGAAGATTCATTCGTTCTCATTTTGCCCATCTGTTGATGAAGATTCATTCGTTCTCATTTTGCCCATCTGCTGATTAGTGGAGCGCGTCCGAAAGTCGCTGATCTTTCTCTGTGACCTCCGCACAACTGGAATGATGCTCCTCGGGGACATCCGTTACGACTGGAATGATGGTCCTTCGGGACATCCGTTATAACTGGAATGATACCGGCTTCTTTTTTCTTTTTAGTTGTCTTTAGTCCACGTGGTGAGTAGTGGGGCGAGGCCCAGATACAGAGCATGAAGGGCCTCGCCACATCACTGTCGAAAAGAAAAACGAATGAATGCATCTACCGGCAGAGAAGCGCAACGTGCATAATGGATGTATCGTACCACTTTTCTTCAGCATGCATTCGTTCTCTTTTCGTTTTGACGGTGGTGTGGCAAGACCCCCTGCGCTGTCAAAGATGACACGCAAAAAGCAAAAAGAAGAAGAAAGGAGGGGGGAATCGAGATGAAGGGGATGATGATCGTTAGTCGGGATAGCATGGGCGAGCGTGCGGCCGGTACTGCTCGTCGGGACAGGGGTCGGGACTGGGTCGATAACGTGCGGGGCGTTGAGGTGTTACTCTTCTTGAGGAGATGACACGTGGCGACTGGGATCCCTTGGAGCGGCTTCGGGGGCTGCTAAGAACGAGGGCAATGTGTCTCGATGCACTGCTGCAGCCACGTCAGCCATTGTCGGGACCCCATTTGTGGACAGACACCCCTTACGTGGCCGTTCGGATGACACATGGCGGAGCAGGAATGGCCGGCGCTCTACAGCCAATCAACAATGGGTCCATCACGGATCTTGGTGAACGGCCACGTGGCGGTGATGCTGGCGTCTTGTGCTCACGTGGCAGTGATCTTGGTGGTACCGGCCATGTCAGTGTCCTCTGCACACGTGGCACTGACCTTGGTGCATGCAGACCGGGTGCATGCACACGTGAAAGCAGCGACTTTAGTGCATGCACACGTGGCACTGACCTTCGTGCATGCACACGTGGCACTGACGTTCCTGCATGCACACGTGGCACTGACGTTCGTGCATGCACACGTAGCACTGACGTTCGTGCATGCACACGTGGCACTGACGTTCGTGCATGCACACGTGGCACTGACGTTCGTGCATGCACAGGTGGCACCGACGTTCGTGCATGCACACGTGATAGTAATGCTGCAGGTAGGATTGAGGCGGCTGCTGTATGCACACGTGCTAGCGAGGCTGACCTGCGTGCAGGTGGAAGCGGCAGCCCTCCCGTCGTTGACGCCGCCTGCACACGTGGCGACCCACGTGGACATGGCGGCGACCCACGTGGCGCTCTTAAAGTTGGAGAATCAGGCGCACGTGGCCGTGGCGACGATGTTGTTGTGGGCACACGTGGCAGAGGCAGCGATCTTGATGTAGGCGCGCGCGGCAGTGGAGGCGGTGTTGATCTATGCACCCGTGGCGGTGGTGCCGATGATGTGCGCACGAGCGGCAGTGGTGTTGGCGGGCAACGGACACTTGGCAGTGGCAGCCTGGCCGTCGGCGCGCCGCGGCCAGTTGCAGAGGAGCAAACTATTTCAGAGGCAGCTTCCCGCCTTTTTGGACAACCGTGTGAAAACCAGCAATCAACGCCAACTGGCCTTTTCCGCAATGAGAAGGAAAAAGACAATGCGAATGCTAGTGTGGTGGTGGTCCCACATGTCCCGCGTGTCTGCGGACGGGAACAGAGTAATGTACGGCCAGTATTTGTACGGAAACGTGGAGCAGGCTCAGGTGGCGGAGGTAAAGATCGGGGCCGTAAAGATGCGGGAGGTGTAGATGGGAGGCGTAAAAATGGGGGAGGTAAAGATGGGGGGATTAAAAATGGGGGAGGTAAAGATGGGGGGATTAAAAATGGGGGAGGTAAAGATGGGGGGATTAAAAATGGGGGAGGTAAAAATGGGGGAGGTAAAGATGGGGGGATTCAAAATGGGGAAGCTGCGCACCGTGATGACGTGGCGCCAAGGGGAGGTAAAGATGGGGGACGTAACAATGGGGAAGGTAAAGAAGGGGGAGGTTCAGATGGGGGACCTGCGCGCCGTGATGACGTGGGGCCAATCTACGGATTGGATGATCAGGAGAAGGACAAAAATGCGAGATGCGCAATGGGGCCACGTGGCGGGCGTGTCGCGCGTGAAAAGGAAGAAACGGACAAACGGATGACTGTACGGAAAGAAGCCTGCAGGGACACATGCTGTGATGATGACGTGGCAATCTTAACAAAACCGGCTACACGGGTTGACGTCGGGATTTCTGTCGTGATGACTCGGCGTTCCGTCCGAGGCGGTGACCTCGTCGATCCCTCAGTCACGCGGACGGGATCCCGTCAGGCCGATGGAGTCGAGGCCACCGATTGCCCGTCACTGATAGGGAGCGGAGGAGAGTCGCGCGAGGAGAAGGGGGATGAAGTGGCAGGTGACGTGGCCGACGGTAAGCGCGTGCGCGCAAGACGTATATATCGGGATAGGTGGGGGGATTACGATACGACGGTGCTCATTGGACTGCTAGGCGAAGAGCGCTCCGCTTCGAGGGGATTGATGGGGGGGAGAGGGGGAGGGGGAGGGGGAGGGGGAGGGCAAGAGCAAGGGCAATCTACGGAGGAGGAGGGTCCACGGGCCAATGGCGCATGGCACAGAATAGCGCGCGCGATGCGGGCGGAAGGACTGGAGCGAACGTGGGATCAATGCCAGACGCGATGGAAGAACCTTCGTCGATGGTACCGACTTGTGGTTAATCATGATCATTCGCAAATTGGCTGCCACCGCAGTTATTGGAGCATGAACCCATCAGAACGCTGTGAGGCTAATTTGAATTTCGATCTGCGCCGTAATTGGTTTGCCGCGATAGGTGCTTATCTTGGGGGAGGTGATCTTGATATGCCTCGGCGGCGGAGACCGGGCGGAGGCTCCGCGCCCGCGCCCGCGCCCGCGCCCGCCGCTGCGTCGCAAGGCGGTATTGGCCACGTGTCAGGACCGGGAAATTCCGCTAACGCGCCTCGATCGCCTGATCTGCACTCAGTGAGGCAGCAGCAGCAGCAGCAGCAGCAACAGCAGCAGCATCACACGAACGTCGAAGCTTCCACCTTTCAGAAGCTGCCACGTGTCGTCACACAGTCGACTGGCGAATGGACTCATCAGAGCGGCGGTGAGGGGTGGAGATCAGGCGATGGCGGCGGCGAGGGCCGGAGATCAGGTGATGGCGGCGGCGGGCTGCAAGCCCTCAACAACAACGGGGAGGGAAGCAGCAGTTGGAGGAAGACGAGTGATGATGAATCCCATCGACGAATGGACGCTTGCCACGTGTCATGCAGTCGACGCAGGAGAGCTCCGGATGACGGCAGTGGTGATTACAATTCCTCCTCCTCCTCCGTCGCGCGTTCTCACAATAGTGATATTAGGGGTTGTGTGGAGGGTACTCCCTCTCCTCCCTCTATCTCTTCTCCGTCTAGATTAGTGGTTGTAGAGGCAGCGGGCAACGAGGGAAGATCGGGCGATTGTCGCTCGGCAGGCGAAAGGGCAGAGCTTGTAGAGAATGTGAGTGGTGGTGGGCATTATGAACATTGTGAGGAATACGTGGAGGCGAGATCAGGAGATGGCCGCGTGTCTGGCAGTCCTCTGCACAGGCATCCTCAGAAAGATGACGTGGTAGCGGCAACGCGAGAGGGTGTGGATTTTGCGGATCTTGCATGTCACAACGCTGAAGGAGCGCATGATTGCCACGTGTCATGCAGTCGAATCCACAGGCAGCATCAGGATAAGGTAGGAGTAGGTGATGGAGAGGGGAGGGGGGGGGGGTGTGCACATCCGGACGAGGGGGGAAGATCAGGTGATGATGACTACGTGGCAGGAAGTCGAATGCACAGAGAGCATCACGAAAGCGAAGGAGGAGGAGGTTATGGAGAGGGAGTGAGTGGTGGCTGTACTTATCAGGGCGATGACGGAAGATCGGGCGATTGTTGCCGCGTGTCATATAGTCGAGTGCACAGCAGGCAGCATCGCGATGACATCGTAGACGTTGGGAACGCTGCGGGTGCTGGATGTGCATGTCAGAAGGGTGAGCCATTGAGCAATGAGGAGGATGGAGAACTGCAGAAGAGTGATAAGGAGGGCAACGGTGAGCCATCGAGCAAAGAGAAGGGAGTGCTGCAGAGTGACAAGCAGGGCAGTGAAGGGTGGAGGGAGAAGAAGAGGGATGAGAATAGCAGTCGGAGGGAGAAGAAGAGTGAAGAAACTGTACGTTGGGATCCCGGCTACTTGTCGGGCTGTAGAGGAGTAAAAAGGACGAGATCTGTCGAAGATTACAGCGAGGAGGGAGTGCTGCAGAGTGACAAGCAGGGCAGTGGAGGGGGGAGGGAGAAGAGGGAAAAGAAGAGTGATGAGAATAGCAGTCGGAGGGAGAAGAGCCGTGAGGACACTTTACGGTCGGAGCGCGGCCACGTGTCGGGCTGTGGAGGAGTCAGAAGGACGAGATCTGTCGAAGATTACAGCGAGGAGGGAGTGCTGCAGAGTGACAAGGAGGGCAGTGGAGGGGGGAGGGAGAAGAGGCAGAAGAAGAGTGATGAGAATAGCAGTCGGAGGGAGAAGACCAGTGAGGACACTTTACGTTCGGAGCGCGGCCACGTGTCGGGCTGTGGAGGAGTCAGAAGGACGAGATCTGTCGAAGATCACAACTCTTTCGGGGCACAGGTTGATGGTGACACTGTGCACCTTCCTCCCTCTCCTCCTTCTCCATTGCCTTATCCATCTCCGAAGAGACGGCGGGGAACGGCTGCAAGTGATGTTATGGCGGCTATGAAGGAGGAGGAGGACAGCAGCAGTAGGGATCTCGTGAAGGGGGAGACGATACGTGAGGGAGAAGGGGGGCTCAAGGAATGCCACGTGTCAGATCTTGAGCAATTGCCGCTGAAGGAGGAGTGGGCCGAGCTTGGTGCTGCAATGAGCAAGGACATGACCGAGCTTCGTGCCGCGATGACCGAGTTTCGTGCTGTAAGGATATGGACGAGGAGGACAGCAGCAGTCGGGATCTCGACCTTGGAGCTGGAAGGACGTGGCGGTCGATCTCCGTGCATCTGCAAGGATATGGCGGCCGAGCTTCCTGCTGCGACGAGCACGAAGGCTATGGAGAAGGACAGCAGTGGTGTTGTAATGAGGCAGCAGCAGACAAGCGAGGAGGCGGGGGGTCTCAAGGAGTGCCACGTGTCAGATCTTGAGCAATTGCCGCGCAAGGAGGAGGAGTCGGGCGAGCTTCCTGCTGCTGCAGTGAGAACGAAGGCAATGGAGGACGACAGCAGTGGTGCTGTCATCGGGGAGCCGACAAGGGAGGGAGTTGGCCTCAAGGAGTGCCACGTGTCAGATGTTGAGCARTTGCCGCTCAAGGAGGAGTCGTCGGGCAAGCTTCCTGCTGCTGCAGGGAGAACTAAGGCGATGGAGGAGGACAGCAGTGGTGCTGTCATCGGGGAGCCGACAAGGGAGGGAGTTGGCCTCAAGGAGTGCCACGTGTCAGATGTTGAGCAGTTCCCGCTCGACAAGCAGTGGAGCGAGTTCCGTGCTGCATTGAGCAAGGACATGGCCGAGCTTCGCGCTGCAATGATCGCGTTTCGCTCTGGGATTAGCGAGTTTTGTGCGGCAAGGAGATGGCAGCCGAGCTTCGGGCTGCAAGGAGATGGCGGCCGAGCGCCGTGCAGCTGCACAGACATGGCGCCCGAGCTTCGTCGTGCTGCGACGAGCACGATGGCTATGGAGGAGGGCAGCAGCGGTGTTGTCACGAGGGAGGAGCCGACAAGTGACGTAATGGGCCTCAAGGAGTGCCACGTGTCAGGCGTTGAGCAGTTGCCCCTCAAGAGAGAGTGGGCCGAGCTTCGAGATGCATTGAGAGAGGACATGTCCGAGCTGCGCGCTGCAACGGCCGAGCTTCGTGCCACGTGTCAGATCTTGGAACGATGTGACACGTGGCACGAAGCTCCGGCGGGTGTGTCTGTCCTTGGTGAAGAGGCAATCATGTATCAGTCTAGGGTTTAGTTGTGATGACGCTCAGATATTGGGAACGATTTGAAACGTGGCACGAAGCTCGGCGTGTTTCTCCTTGTTGAGGAGGCAGTCGTCAGTTCAGAGAGAGTGTAGATGGCCCGTCTTCAGCCGACTAGAACGCCCGGTCATTATAGCCGTATCTGGGGCAGTTTTCTGTCTAGATGCACAGCTATAATGACCGGGCGTTCTACTCGGGTGAAGACGGTATAGATGGGACAACGACACTCGACCGCCGAAGCACGAGGTTCGGCCACGTGTCAGATCACCAAGCATTACCACTTTGTACCGTCAGGCCACGTGTCGGATTTCAGATGCTTGTAATTATTATGTTTGTTGAAAATTCACCGACCCTTTGATCGAACACGTGACACGTGGCACGTGGCACGAAGCTTGCCGCGTGCGTGTCAGGTCTTCTTCTTGAGCAGGTCCCCATCGAGAAGGAGTGGGCCGAGCTTCGTGCTGCTGTGTAGTGGGCGAGCTTCGTGCCACGTGTCACCACTGCAGCACGAAAGCGCGGACACGTGTCAGACGATCATCAAGAATTACCGGTCCGTACACTCCAGCCACGTGTCGGATCTCGGAATGATCCAGCACGTGACACGTGGCATGAAGCTTGCCACATGTCAGATCTTCTTCTTGAGCAGTTGGCGCTCAAGAAGGAGTGGGCCGAACTTCGTGCTGCTGTGATGGGGGAGATTCGTGCCACGTGTCATACAGTGAGCAGTTTCTCACGTCGGCATTGGCCGAACTCCTCCTCGTACTGCAGTGGGCCGAGCTCAGTACTCTTTACTTTATTGCAGATCTTTGTGCCACGTTTCAGATATATGACACGTGGTGCTGAAAACTGTCCGTTCGCAGATCTTCTTTGCTGTCAGATCTGAGACGTGGCAGTGAAATTTATCCAATGAAGATCCCGAGCGAGGAAGAGCTGGAGAAAATTTCGGAAGCGCAGTGGCCATGGCCCACTGGTCGTTCTTTCTCCTGATGATGATAATGGTTGGTGGCCCCGCTGGCCGGCATTCTACTTCGTCGTCATCAGGGACGGTTTTGTGAAACACTCTCATTCTCATTGTGTGTCAGAATTTGTGACTGTTACTGTAAATTAAAGTCTGTGATATCCCGTGTCCCCTACCGTGCGCACGTGTGTTTGTGGATGTTTATGTGTGTGTGTGTGTGTGTGTGTGTGTGTGTGTGTGTGTGTGTGAGAGAGAGAGAGAGAGAGAGGTCTCCGCAGCTAGCCTCCCATTTTTCTGTACATTGCTGTGCAGCGTGCAAGCGCTGAAGAAAAAGGAGTATGCCCACGGAGAGAGAGAGAGAGAGAGAGAGAGGTGTCCGCAGCTAGCTTCCTACTTTTGTGTACATTGCCGGGCGGCGTGCAGGCGCTGAAGAAAAAGGAGT